AATAATTATCTTTATCTTGAGGCCCGTAAATCAAGCAACACATTTAAATAACAATATATCAATGATCAACCTTTGCCAGTAATGTTTCAAGTTCAGGGTGTTCAAAGAGAATATTTTCTTAACAACTGAGACAAATTGCAGAACAACAAAACAGGTGGAATTTGGAAAAGCTTTCAAGTTATAAATATATTGTATAAATATAAAGTGGCAATCCAAAATTTTTTTGGGGGTTTTCTTAAAAACATAGTACAGATTCTCCTCTACTTACGAATGAGATACGTTCCAAACGGCCGTTGGTAACCTGAAATGTTCGTAAGTCGTTATTCAATATATAGTATATGCAAGTACTAAGAACTAGGATGCTGGGAGTACGCACGCTACGCTGCTGCGCGGCGGGAGTAGCGGCCAAAAGTCGTATTAGGTGGAAGAAAAAAAATATTGATATTGCGGACAGGAAACAGGAGCCCAATACACACAATTTGGACTTACAGTCCTCTTCGTTCGTATGTCTGAAAGTTCATAGGTTGAAAGTTCGTCAATAGAGGAGCGTCTGTACTTTGTCATACTGATGCATGTTTTACTGGCACAAATGACGAAATACCAAGTGATTCTAAAAAGGTAAAAACTTGTCGTTGAAATACAATCAACCCACAAGCATAGTATCAGAACAAAATGCAAATATTTCTTAAAACAGAGAAGATTCACTTTTTTTTTCCCAAAAAGCAGAGTAGAGACCTGAACTATTTTCACAGGTAAAGACCACAGTAAAGAAAATAATATGGGCACCATTTCAATGTTTATCATCTGTACTCAAGGTCTTAACAAGGTTCTCTACTGCTGCTCAAGTTCAACCAATAACAATGGAATCGGGACAGATTTATTGTAAACTGAATCTGGCATCTGATTTCCTGGCTAAAGTAAACAAAGTCCACAGCATGTCAAGTTTACACAGTGGTTAAGCACTACCTGGAAATGAAATAACCAGGGAAACATATTAAAAGTAGAGATGAAAGGATAAAATTGTTTTTAAAAAACAATCCGTACCATGCGTTACATTGAGAAGAAATAAAGACATTTCAGAGGCACCAACATATGGTACAGACACAAGCAATCGATTTCTAACAATAATCTGTTTACCATGTGCCCATAATTCACATAACATGCAAAGTCATTTAAACATTTCACGTTATATATAATCTACCAAGATGTCAGCAAAGGCATACCTTACCTGTGCACAGGGGTGTTTTAAAGGGGGGGGGGGTGGGGGCCCACCTCCAGCAGCCTGTACCCCAGCCGACAGGGGCGCCTTTAAAGGGGGGGGGGGTAGGATGATTCCAAGGGCCCCTGAGTGACAGGACTCACAGGAGCTCCCAAAAAAAAAAGAAAAAAAAAAAAGAAACACATAATTGGTCTGGGTGGGGGCCCGACATTTATAGCACACCCCTGCCTGTGCACCTAATGTAATCGCTCTGATTACTCAGATGTACAAATCTATCACAAACATAATATAATTAGGCAAATGTATGGTAGGAAATGTTCATTATTTTAGGTTGTCAAAGAGCTATCCTATTACACAACATAAGCAGTAAATAATAGTGAATAAATAATACTATTATACCACCTGACTATTTCCACCAAAGGCTGCATTTAGGCCTACCACTTTCTCGACAAAATATGCTAATTAGAAGCCTGTTACCGCTGGCCCGTTGCCAGCATGCTCTTAACGTCAACCGAACCATCGTCTTCCTGTGGCTGAAGCTGAAAAACGTACGGCTCAAGAGATTAAATGAAGATTTCTGCTCAATTCAAAAAAACCTGAATGCGCCTTAAGCCTTAATAGGCTCTTACAGGTCAATGGAACAGCCTCCTGCGTCTCAGCTGGCTTCAGGTTCAGTTTTAACAGACTTCTAAGCCGCTGCAGAATGTTTCCTGGGTGCCAAATCGCTTGTTTCAGTTCTATAAATCCAGCAAACTGACATTTAATAAGATGCCCCAAGTCCTGCCAAGGCTTTTATGACCCCAAATCGCTTCCTGCTCCAATCCCTAGAAGTGCAAAGGGAAACCTGCAGGTTACTAAATAAGACACCCCTAGTAAAGTCGCACTTTCTATTCCATGCTGTTTCTCCAAACAGTCCCTCCTTTTCCCATGCAAGCAACAGATATCCAAATAAACGTCTGAAAACTGAAAAATATGTATACAAGCTTCTGCATCTAAGACTGGTCAAGGAAATATTTGCCTTGTGTGATTGTGGATTTTAATACTGAATTTTTCCCCCCAGTCCAAACATTCAATCTGATTAGAAGTACATTACTAGTATGCCTTTAGAAATGGATGCAAAATGCACAACAGGATGAGATTGTTTTATTATAGACCAAGAGTCATCCGCTGTCCAGCAAGGAAATATATTGATGAAATGTGTTCGAAATAAGTGTCTAAAACATCTCGTTCATTTTTCATTTGGCCGATCAACACTAGCAATGGCTCATATTCCCAGTTTCCTCAGGCATGGAAAAGCACCTGTGGTAACAGAAAACACATAGCCAGTGTTAAAGGTCACAGAAAGGGGGGCGCATATGGATTCTGCTTTAGAAAATACAAAAAAAAACGGTAAAGACTGTCCATAACACATATTTCAAAATGCAGGATGAATCTACACCCTTTATTCTCCCTGCACATAAAGCAGCAAAATGTCCCTCAGCGGCACTCAAGGCAGCAATGCAGCATATACAATATGCATATATACCAATATGCATATACCAAAAGCTAAAAATGCACACAACCACTTTTAGTTGTTTTTAATTATCCCAAACAATTATAAGCTGATGTAAGAAAACGGGTGCATAATGCATCCCTAACATATCTTTCAATAACCGTCAAACACCACAACAAAAATGAGCCATTTTACAGTCCTTTGCTGAGTGACATGTGACTATGGGTGGGTGGGGACGACCTGGACTTTAATGCTTAGGCCTCACAGCAAGATGCCGATATGGGTGCCATGGCCAGGTGGACGGTGCCGAAGCAGGGCCCAAGCACAGCGCATACGCGAAGGGCCCCGTGAAGGGAGGCTACGTGCCCTGAGAGAGCCATGCCTCGCTTAGAGACACAAACCCGCATCAACTTTCCAAGGTGCCTACTCAAGCTCAAATAGAAATTCAATTTAAAAATGTGATTTCAAAACTGTAGTATGCCATTGTGAAAGCCAACCTGAAAAGACAAGAGACGTACTGACTGACAGATACTATAGGGTACTTTTGTTTTTGTTGCCATGGGGAAACATTATCAGGAATCATAACCTGTTAAGAAACGGCAAATTCTATTCAAGCTATTGTACAACTTTGCCGATTTTCACAGACTCATATTTTCATTTTTTTTTTATCATCAAATCATCAAAGACTTTAATAACTATGGTTCACACTAAGAGACTCAAATGACCTTCATCTACCCCTGGGAAAGTTTGTAGTCTCAAAACTACTCAAATCCAGGCTTTGCACAATTGATACCTTGGACATCCTGGGGACAACTTACTTTCTAATCCACAGTCTCACAGTCTGGTTTGGATTCTCAAAGGCTACATCAAAGAAAGAAAAGGGAAAAGATTGGTGGGAGAGTAAAATAAAATATTATTCTGTGCTGAAAGGTTCTGGTGAGTGAATCCAAGGAAGTGCATCTGAAAAGGAGTTGGCACACATCACTCTATTACTCCCCACAGTGGCTTCATTTACACACAGCATAACATTTGTAAGTTACTGACAATTCCTTTCACCATCAAATAATAAGGCTTTTGTTGGTACCCCGCACATTGCATTTCAGGCTACGTCATCTAGATTGCACAGAAATAATCCTCAAGCTCAGTGCAGGATGGGGATATCTCTCTCTCTCTCTCACACACACACAAAACTCAAAAGGAACCATCCTAAAGAAATACATTTTAGAAAGATCCAATGGAATGATTAAAGGGTTTATTTTCTCAACTGAAATCTGAAGGTAAAGTAAAACAGAGCAACAAATGTAAAGAACAGTGCATCTTAAAAAATCCTGACATACTGGCACTTCTGTAAACTAGTGAGATCTGAAGCATGAATAATAATAATCCAAAATTAAATATGATTTACAAACATAAATGAATTATTGACCACCAGCCAAGATCTATCGTGAATAAACAATGTGACTTCAAAGATATCTACAACTACAAAACAAATACTATAACAAAAATACTTGATATGCATCATACAAGTCCACATCTAACCACAAAGCCTTTATAACCACCAGTAACCCAGCTTTATAGTATTGCAACATTTACTTGAAGCTTAAAAGTGAAGTTATCAAACTGCACTAATAATTCTGTAACATATTCTTACAATACTGAGAAAAACAACCTGTTACACTTACAATGGCCAAACACTACAGCACTATAGCCTAACTATTAACACTCGGACAAAAACATAATAAAGAGACAATCAAATTATAATTCTGGCAAACAGCTCACAGGGGAACTATTATGCTTTGGAGATCTTGTTGCCCTCGACTTAAGTAAAACAAATAAGCTTTTGAGCGCGGAAACTTTACACTAAGAACGGTGGCATGTCTACGCCAGTAACTCTACTTTGAGATTAAAGAATGTATACAAACTTTATACTAATTTCAAGATAGAGTTGATGCAGATTGGGAGTTGGGGAAATGCCTTACCGTCCCAAACACATAAACATTCCCAAAGGAAAGAGATGGGAGTCCCACTTAGTGTGTACGATACATCAAAAAACTGGATCAATTATATAATAATCTAGTGACAAATTCAAGTATTCATGTTGTTTATATAACAATGCGAATTTATATGACTAACTAAACAGCAATTTAAATACTTGTCAGGGTGCTTTGAGAGTTTAGTACGCATGTTGAGATGGCAACCCCAAACCAATAAGCGGAGATAAACGTTTAACATTTGGTACCACCTGTAAAACTTTACTGTTGCAAAGCATGCACTACACTATATACTCACCGTTTAACAGATTGCAATTTTAGGAATTCGTCCTCCTGTCTTGTTTCTGTTGTTGTCGTTTTAAGAAATTCCTTTCCCCCCCTACCCACCCCCACACTGTAGGACCGCTTCCAAAGTAACTTCCGTGGAACTAAAATTCATACAACCGTGTTCGAAACTATAGTGATAATAAACGAATGAATGATCTGAGTTTATTTCTTTTGTAGTTTTGCACTCCTTGCTCCCTACTAGCCGCTCGGTCCACGGCGCTCATGCGCACTCAGGCGGCCACCCGCAAGTCATATTTCACTCCTGAGCGCTGAACAAAGGGGTGAGTCCGGCGGCGTGACGTTACACCGCAGCACCATGACAGGTAAAAGTTGCACTGTGAAACATTAATGAGGCACGGAAGGTGAGACTAACCTGCTTCACCTCTTACTTATTTATAATGCTGCCGTTTGCTGCTATTCGAAATCATTCTTGATTCTTTTAAAAACACCGCAACCTTATTTAATTTGACAAAACTTAAATGTTTGTACTCATTTCTTTTAGACTGCTTGGTCTGGTATTCATTAATAATTAGCCGGAGTGGTGACAAAACATTTGGGCTGACGTGCTTGACGCGACGGTGGGCTGATCGCATATGCATGGCTTGTTTTATGTCCTTTGCAACGGTTTGCGACAATGTTTGCTGTATCATGGTGGCAGTTTAGTTCAAGCACAACAAAAGACCAAAGACCCGGGGACCAGAAAAACAATGCTAAAAAGAGAAAATATAAAAATGTCAATAAAAATAATTAATTTAAAAATAAATGATAATTAGGGATATAGACATAAATAATACTATATAGTCATATTTTCATCCAATGATGTTCAGTTTTTGCGAACGATCTTGCAATTTTAATACACCAAACTTACCCAAAAAGTATTACAAATTTTATATACTGTGTAATGGTTGGATGCATTTGATTAATGATTAATACAATCTGAAAGAAAATTTACTTTAAATGTTAATATTTATTAAACTGCACTTATTTGCCACAAAAGTAAAAACCATGTTGGTTGTTACAAAAAGCTGCTGCAGCATTTTTAACCAATAGGGGGCAGCCAAATACTGACGAATAATGTTAAACTAGTATAGTATATACTGTATTTTAGATTCAGAATTGTGATTTTGTACAAATAGCATCTGCTTACATCTGGAAATCTTATATTTACATAAATGTAATATTTAGTATGTTTTATATTGTTAAACTTTGATAGTTCGTTTTATATTTACTAAATGACTGTAAATGTTTACACATGTTCATTAATACTTTTTTCAGATGTATAGGAGCAATCCTCAAACAGAACTAGTTTTATTCTATAAATTTAACAGCAATAAATAAGAATGATTGATATGTTACACATTTTTCCAGAAAATCTACTCTCTAGAAAGTGAAGCCAAACATTATACGTCCTTCACTGACAGTAATCTTCCTAAAAGAACACTTTGGTCCATAACAAAGTTCAACAGAACGTGTGGTTGTGTAATCCACCATAGTTTTTGAACTAGTTTTATTCTATTAATTTAACAGCAATAAATAAGAATGATTGATATGTTACACATTTTTCCAGAAAATCTACTCTTTAGAAAGTGAAGCCAAACATTATACGTCCTTCACTGACAGTAATCTTCCTAAAAGAACACTTTGGTCCATAACAAAGTTCAACAGAACGTGTGGTTGTGTAATCCACCATAGAGATTTTTGCAAACATAGTATTATGAAATAAAGTGGCCCAGTTTTCATTAACCAAATTTACTGGTATTCTTTAATCAGTAGCCTGTCATTTTCTGTAGTTCATACCCCACTGGAGAATTAATATACAAAACATACAAAAAGAACACAAACTGGTCATTGTAGTTGATCATTTGACAGACAATCTTCCAAGCTTCTTATTTTTTAAACTTACTGGTTTTCAGCAAAATTATTGATAGCTAAAAGTGTCAATAACCTTTCCAGTTAGTGTTTGTTCACATATCCAAGAAAGAGTCTAATTACTAGATGGAGTTCTGGTAAAACAGTAACAAGTGTATACAGTCATCTTACCCTTGGTTATCTCTGTGCTATCCTAGTATAAAATCTGCCACCAACTGTTATCGTAAGCACAACAAAAGAAATTTCTATGTGTTTTATTGTGTAACATAATATGCATTATTTCCAATAAATTATTAATAACAATAAAGTTGTGATTTTTACTTAAAACACTGACTACAGTCAAAAGTGAGTTACATTGTGATTTTTTTGTGCAATTTATTGTAACCTTCAAACTATAGGATACATTAACAAGGATTAGCCCACAAACTTGCAAAGTAAAATTTTAAGTGATTATATGAATTCACGGCTGTCTTACGTGGACAGTATGTGGACAGAAATATTGGGACACCTGGCCATTACACCCACGGGAACTTTTATGACATCCCATTCTAAATCCATAGGCATCAATATGGAGTTGGTCTCACCTTTGCAGCTATAACAGCTGCCACTCTTCTGGGAAGACTTTCTACAACATTTTATAGTATGTCTGTGTGAATTTTTGCTCTTTCCTCCAGAAGAGCAGAGGTCAGGCACTGATGTTGGACGTGAAGGCCTGGCTCTTCATTTTAGTTCATCCCAATGGTGTTCGATGGAGCTGTGTGTGGGCCAGTCAAGTTCTTTTACACCATACTCACCCACTATACTTGCTGTATGGATCAGGGCACAGTTTTGCTAGAACAGAAAAGGCCATTCTTCAAACTGTTCCCACAAAGTTGGAAGCATAGAATGTTCAAAATGTCTTGGTATGCTGAAGCATTAAGTGTTTCCTTCACTGGACTTTATGGGCCTAGCCCAACCCCTGAAAAACAACTCCATTCCATTATCCCTCCTCCACCATACTGTACAATTGGCACAATGCAGTCAGGCAGGTAATGTTTTCCTGGCATCCACCAAACCCAGACGTGTCCATCAGATTCCTAGACAGAGAAACGTGATTCATCACTCGACAGCACGTCTCTACTGCTCTAGAACCCAGTGGAGGTGTGCCATACACCACTCCATCGGATGCTTGGCATTGCATTTGCTTAGATGAAGCTTGCATGCAGCTGCTTGGCCAAGAAAGCCAATTGCACGAAGCTCCCAGCACACAGTTTTTGTGTTAGGGTTAATGCCAGAGGAAGGGTGGAACTCTGCAGTAAACAGATCATTGGTGACTTTTGCGCACTATGCGACTCAGCACTTGGTGACCCTGCTCTGTTACTTTACATGGTCTGCCACTTCGTAGCCACTTCAGTTGACCGTGGAATTTCTAGCAGGGAAGGAATTTCCCAAACTGACTCATTACAAAGGTGGCATTCTATGATAGTATCATGCTTGAATTTCCTGAGCTCTTTAGAATGACCCATTCTTTCACAAATGTTTGCAAACCTGACTGCATGGCTAGGTGCTTGATTTTATACACCTCTGGCAATGGGTCAGAATGAAACATCTAAATTCAATGATTAAGAGCTGTGTTCCAGAACTTTTGTCCATACAATGTGATCCAAATGGGTACTTCCACATAACATTTACTTACACAATGAATATTCACTGTTCACCTTGGATCATCCAGACTATCTCCATCAAAGTCTGCTGGGAACCTAGGGGGAATGAAAGACAACCAACTGTCCTTTGCTGAGCACATACCGGTCTCCCGATCTTTCAGATTTACCCTGTAGATACTCAAGGAGATCAGGCCTTTCTATCTGAGTATGCAGCTCAGCTTCTTGTCCAGGTACTCCTTACCTCACGACTATGAATATTGCAACTCTCTACTGACAGGCCAGGCAGCTTGTGCTATCAGACCACAGCAGATGATCCAAAATGCAGCAGCCCATCTGATATTCAGTCATGATCTATGTCCCATCTTGCCCCCTTCAAGCAGCAAACTAATGCTACTTGGAGCTCCATCTGCCACAGGAGAAGGGTCACTCCATACAATTCTCTTGTGTGGTTTCCCAATGGTGGAATGAGCTGCCGAACCACATCCTGTCATCATCTTTAAAAAATGCTTCAAGAACCATCTGTTCCATGAATTTCTCTATTAACCTGATGCTTCATTATGTTCTTTGAGTGCTCTGTTGCACTTACTGGCTACTGAATATCTTGAATTGGTTTTTACTCTTTTAGTAGTGATTGTGTAGTTGTTATGTAGCTTTTGGGTAGCTCATGCTCAAAAACTGCTTACACTTGCATCAGGTCATTCATTGGAAGCTCAGCCTAGCTGCACTTATGCCTATTTGACTCTATGGCAGCATGTATTTTTGTAATGTGCTATTTGCCCTGTAAAATGTAAATGTATATACAATTAGCATCAAATTAAACTCCAGTGTGCTGGAGATGACCCTCTTTGATAATTGTATTACAGTGAGTATTACAAAACAATATCATCCATCCTTCCAAATTCTTATCCTGATCTGGGTCACGATGGGTTCAATTTTTTGATTGAATGAACCAAAGTCACATTTATATAGTGCTTTTCAAGACACCCAAAGCGCTTTAGAGAACAAATGGGGATCTACTTCATTCATCAACATTGTGTAACACCCACCTGGATGATGCAACGGCAAGCATTCTGCACTGGTACGCTCACCGCACAGTAGCTAAGGTGGTAAAGGGGCAGGAGAGAATTCACCAGTTAGATATAGGGGATGATAAGGGGGGCAGATTTGAAAGGGCTACAGCGGGCAATTTTAGCCAGGGCATTGGGGTACCACCCCTACTCTTTCAAAGGACTCCCAGGGATCTTTAATGCCCTCAGAGAGTCAGGACCTTGGTTTTACATCTCATCCATTTTTACAGCACAGTGTCTCCATCACTGCACTGGGGCATTGGGATCCACACTGGTCACAGGATGGGTTAACCTGTTGGCCACACCAACACCTCATTCAGCAGGAACCCAGCTTTCCTAATTGGTCTCCAAGATGTCAACTAGCCTAACTGCATGTCTTTGGACTGCGGGAGGAAACCAGAGTTCCCAAAGGAAGCTCACATAGCATGAAGAGAAAAGTTTAGTGGAGGTCAGATTTGAACCATCAATTCTGGAAAAGTGACGGTGCTCTGCACTGACTCACAAACGAATATCAATATGCTGCACTTATTTGTATCATTTCTAATAAATGTCTAAGAATAAATTATCTGTAATTAATATGCAATCTGATGGGGGTGGGTATTATAGAAATGTGCACGTTTAACATTCCTTTATGTTGTTCAGTGTCTAGATAATAGAACAGACACAACATTAGAAGATTGTAATGGGGACTAGTGGAACTTGGGTTGAAATTCCTGAGTGTTTCATCTCTGCAGGACATGCTTTGGTTTTGAAAGTTGGATGGTCCGTATGTTCTGCTCAGTCACCAGATGTCTGTGATTTTTCCTTCTCACATAACATGTGACCAGGGTTGCTAACATCTCACGCTTTCAGACTCTCATGCTCACGCAAGAAATCTTTCAGCAAATCTGTATTATTCCTGAAATTAGCTGCATCAAATGCGTTGGAGTAGTGTGGAAACCCTACAGACTATTTGCAAGGCAATTAAACTGCTACATGCATGTAAATGCATGTGTATGTGCGTGCAGACTTTTCCGAAATTGAACATCTCACTCCAGCCAGCTGAGCAAAGTTGGCAACCTAGCATGTGACGTCAACTGTATGGTTACTCTCCGAAATGTAAACGGAAAAGGATAAGAGAAGACAACAAGCAGAATAATCTTATGGTTTCAGAGGTCACTGATGTTAGATGCGCCAGAGTAGGATAGCAATTACGACAGATTTTTTTTTTCATTTGCAAACATTTATTCAAAACGACGTAGAATAGAGGGAAGCGTAATGCCTATGATTTGGACACTTTGAAGGTTAACCGTCGCGTTGTTGGCGAAATGCTCTGCTTGTTGAGTTACAATAACCGACATAACAAAGCAAAAGGAACAAAAGGGCTAGTGTACATGTTACTGTACGTGGTGAAAATGGGGCAACAGCTACAAACAAGCTGCTTTTATAGAAGGTGTACCGTGCCCTCCACAAAATGAAAAATATTTGATCAATACATGATTTCAATTTTTAATCATTAATATCCCATCTACTTTCAAAATCAACAGGTCAATATAGTAATGCGGTTAAAAGTCAAGAAATGAACTTTTATAATAGTCCAACATATCCATGATGATAGAGCGGCTCGTTTGGACAAGTGAGCTCGTATAGAATCTATTATATTTATCGAAATGTGCCTCCCTATCACCCGGAACTTTGCCCTCCTTGATTCTGCAAAGCCTGATGTTTTTTTTTAACTGAACCACTCCTCGCTGCCACTGCTGTTTCATTTCGGATTGGCCACCTCCCTGCAACACCCACTTTTTTCAAGTTTCCAGTTAAAAACTCTAAAGGCGGAATTGGCCGATCTTCTGTTCCACACAGAGTAGGAGAAACACTGCGGCCGCCGAGATGTCAGAGAGAAGCGCCTTCGACACCAATGTTATTACTCTCACGCGTTTCGTGTTGGAGGAGGGTAGGAAAGCCAAGGGAACGGGAGAGTTAACAACCCTCCTCAATTCTATGTGCACGGCAATCAAAGCTATTTCTACTGCTGTCAGGAAGGCAGGCATCGCTAATCTGTAAGTATTTGTCTGCATTTGTCTTCCTGAGATACGATGTGAATTGTTCAGAATTATGTGCATTTCAATGCGAACGATGCATGCATGCGTTAATTCTAACGCACATGTTTACCCAACAGCATGCACTTGGCCTCTCAAATAAAAACGTGCAATAAACGGAAGTATCAAGTTCCGAAAATATTTGTGGGGATTTTTAGCTTCGGAAATCAGCTGTGTTCGTGAGTTTGTGTCTGCTCCGCAAAATGTAGTTTCCGCATTGGGGTTTGTTGAATAACTTGTCTAACTTGTTTGAAAAGAATGTGTGTTTCTCAAACATGCCAGACGTGTTAGTCTTATTGGATGAGATCCTACTTGAATGAACTGTATGTCTGTTATTCAGTAAGACCTGCCCTGCTTTTAATCTGTGTTCTATCCAGCGGGAGTAGCTAGACATAATTGGATGGGGGGCGGAGTCTTTACTGGGGAGGTGACAAACTATTTATGACTTAAGCCAATAAATACACATTTATTATTTTGGGGGCTAAACCCCCCTAAAATAGGCCTAGCAACACCCCGGGTTATAGCAAAACTGGACTGAATTTAAGTATTACCCATTCACATACTTTGCCCTGTGTGGTGCATGCCATCATTCTGGCCTTTAGGCATTTAATATTTCACAGTTGTACGATAAAATAGCCTCAACAAACGTAATAATTAACATGGACTTTGGCTTTTAACAATGATTGTGCAAATAGTCACACAGGGATTAGTCAGTCAGACTTTAAATAAGTGCTCTGTTTGGCTGCCATTATACTGCTGTAAATATCCATATATGTTGCTGCATTAAACAATTTTAGAATACATCTTAAAAATGCTATCCTGCTGTTATTACCTGTATCGTTCATCCTGTCTGTACCATGTCCAATCCCCTTCGAGCAGCACCCTGGGAAGGCCTTCACAAAGCACTGACTCTTCTTATTGTCTCCATCTGCAGCTATGGCATTGCAGGCAGTACCAATGTAACTGGGGATCAAGTGAAGAAGCTGGACGTCCTCTCCAATGACTTGGTGATCAACATGATCAAGTCCTCCTTCACCTCATGTGTACTGGTGTCCGAGGAGAATGAGCAAGCCATAATTGTGGAGCCCGACCAAAGGGTAAGTGTTAATCAGATTCTTTACAGCGGCTTAGTAGTGATATAGTTATGAACAGAGCAGAATGTTGAAATTCTCACTTTTGTCAGAATGCTGTACTTTGCAGCTAGAAGTATTATACTTGTGGGTTTGTTTTCATTCCCTGTGGAGTGTTTAAGCAGCATGAGCATTTTTTTGTGCATGACAAAGTACTTACTTTTTTAATACAGGGTAAATACATTGTTTGCTTTGATCCTCTGGATGGTTCTTCAAACATAGACTGCCTCGCATCTATTGGGACAATTTTTGCCATCTACAGAAAGGTTTGGTTATTCTTTTCTCACTCAGTGCATTTTTAAGAAGTACAGACACTCCCCAAGTTTCAATGGGGTTATGTTCCGATAAACTTATCATAAGGCGAAAATATCATAAAGCAAAAATGCATTTTAATACAGTACATCTAACCTAAGAAACATCATAGCCTAGCCTAGCCTACCTTAAACATGCTTAGAACACTTACATTAGCCTACAGTTGGGTAGAATCATTATCACAAAGCCTGTTTTATAATAAAATTTTAAATATCTCATGTAATTTGTTGAATAATGTACTAAAGTGAAAAGCATAATGGAATTGGAATATCCATTGTAAAGTCAAAATATCGTAACACGGGCCATCGTAACCTGGGGAGCGTCTGTATACTGTATGTGAATGTTTTCCAAACAATAGCACAACCTTTAATAATTTGTGATACACCAGGAATAACTTATAGGACTGTTACCTTATTTACTTGTATATATGTACAACAAATTTTTATTATGCTCTTCTGCATCTCACTGAAGCACATGGTTATGATTCAAAAAATGTTGGGGGCTGTATTATCTATGAAGGGATCACAGATGCTCAGTGAGTGGCACTCTTGTCTCACAGCTCTAGGGTGGACAGTTGAATCCTTCCCCTGCTCTCTGTTTGTGGAGTTTGCATGTTCTCCCCGTGCCACATTAGTTTTCTCCCTCTGCCCTGGTTCCTTTCTGCATTCAGTCTGATGTCTCTAATGGTGCTTTTCCATTGCCACCAAGAACCGAGCCGTACCTGAGCCATGCTGTTGTTACAATTCCCAGCGTAACAGTATTAAGGGGAGAGGGGAATGGGTTAAAGGGACAAACAGGGTAAGGTACAACAAGGGAACAACAATGGACAAAGGGATATTTTTTTGTATTTTATTAATATATAATCATATATAATACTGACACTGAACAAATAACCTGGTGCAAAAGACTTTGGGAGAGACCACAGCCAAAATAACAAACAAAACATCCCCAACTACCAAGCAATCCACAGCTAATTTCACTTAAGTGTAAAAGACAAGGAAACCAAAAGACAAGCACTCCACTTGAATGAAATGGGATTTACATATAGAATAGCCAAATGAAAACCAGCACTAACACCTCCACAGAAGAAAACAAGATTATAGTGGGTGAAAGAGAAGCAATCAAGTGTTTGGATGAAAGTGATATTCAATGATGAATCACAAATCTGCACTGGCCAAGGAGATGATGCTGGAACTTTTGTCTGGTCACATTCTAATGGAGCATGCAGATCTCCCCACTCATTTGTGATATGGGGCTGCATGACAGGCAAAGGCAAGGGGAGATGACAATCATTATTTCAAAAGTCAATGTACAGGTGTACATGGAGGTTTTGGACAATTTTCTTATTATATGGATAGACAATAGGTTTGGTGAAGATTAAGTAATTTTTTCAGGATATAATGCATCTTGCAACAGGGAAATGAGTGTCAAAGCTTTTTTTCAGGAAAGGAATATAAAATTGATCATGGCCACAGCAACCTGCCCAGATCTCAATCTCAATTGAAAATTTATAGCGGAAATTTTTAAAATTGGTCCATGACAAGGTTCCATCCTGCAAAGCTGACCTGTCAACTGCTATTCAAGAAATTTGGAACCAGCTTGCTGTAGAATATTGTGTTTCATTAGTGACGTCCATGCCCGAAAGGTCTGTTGATCTCATAAAATTCCTAGGAGAAGCAACAAAGTACTAATTGTGATTGTTTTTTTCATTTGATGATTCTAGTATTTTTTTCCTCAGTGTTGGGAAATTCCATAATTTTTCCTCTACTTGATCTGGACAAAATTTTGCCATTAATTACAATAATTTGTTTGAGGTATGTTTCAACAAGCCAGAATGTTCAGCTATTAAACAAAAAATATTTTGTCATATCTGTGATTTGTTAGTTTGCTGTGAAGTAAAAAAGTGGAGTAAACGTCCACTAAGCATGGTGATTCCATCATGATTCCAGGGGGGTATTTGCAGCAACCTTCCAACACACCAACCTCCTACGGCTAATCAATACCACATTGACTTTTCTAATTTATTTAACTAAATTTCATCAACAGCTCAATTAATTAATAAACACATGGAATGGCTGAAGTCCTCCTGAGGAGAGGTTTGGGAAGTGAAGTAGTGTTCTACCCATCCAACAGGATGTCAGTGAGACAAGAATAAATGACTCTTAATTTGCTTTTGTTCTAATTTTAAATTATGTTTTTGTTTGAGCAAATATACACATACTAGCCAGATAAATAGCTTTAAATATTTTCTTTGTCTGTCATATACTGTAGGTTGTACTAGGCTCACGGACATGTATCTACTTAGAACTGAAGAATTCCCTGTGTCAAAGACCTTTGTCACTAATGCACATTTTTATGTGTTGTTGCTGTTTCAATTCTGTTGGGCTAATGTTCCTTCCAGTCAGTACTTTGCAAGATGTTTTACTAGGGTTAAACCACAGTCATTTCAAGATTTTTTTTTTTTATTTAAATCAAATGCCAATTTAAAGCCCCATATTTAGAATTTTGTAGTTTATACATAACACTGGTACACAGTGATTTTGGTGCCAACAATGTCTGAATGGCTTTATATTAAGTTTATGGTGCTGATTAAGAATATGTCTTCGGTTTTGGCTCTAGTTTCTGAGATATTTAATACTTAATTAATGCAACACGTTTGAAAAGCATTCAGAATTGCAAGAATATTTTAATTTTAGTTACAACTAGTAAGTAAACAGTCTAACATCATACAAAAATAAATTCAAAATATCTAACAGTGACAGGAAAAAGTCATGTATGATTTGATTAAATACAATATTGATTAGTTATTGTTACTAATGTCAATGCTTCAAAAAAAAAAGTACTGTGGCTGGTTGAAAAAGACGACTAATGTCTACGAAGTGCGATGCGACCTTTGTCAAAAAGTCATCAAACTGGCAACAATAGGCTCTAAAGCCATCGACTCACATATCAGGGGAGAGAAGCACAAGCGTTTTGTCAAAAGTCGGACAACAATTGTCCCCATTCAGTTGTTTGCCAGTCCTGCAAGTACAACCTCTACAGATAGGCCTACACCTGCTTTGGAAGTGTCTCCGGATCCCCCAACAAGCAACGTCTTCAGTACATTCTCCTCAACCGACACACTGAAAGCAGAAGTGCTATGGGCTTTGCAAACAGTTTGCTGACATCACTCCAATACGTCCAATGATGACATTCACACTGTGGTGAGCAATTTGCTGGGACACGTTTAGTAATTGTAGGAAGTTGTGCCCTACATACCCATCACAACTCAGTCAAGACTGGTTTTGAAGAGTGGATGGTGGAGAAAGTGCTCAAAGCACTACATTTTCTTTTCCACTCTGCACCAGCCAGAAGAGAGGACTTCACAGCTGCAACATCATCCTCAAGATTCCCTCTACCTTTCTGTGGCCATTGGTGGCTTGTAAGTTTGCCAGCTGTCGAACGAGCATTGGAACTCTGGCCCTCTATTGTGAAATATGTGGACCTGGTGAAGAAAAAGGTGAAAAACCCAAGGAAAACTTCTTTTGACTGCATTTGTGAAGCCCGAATGGATCCCCTTCTTCTGGCCAAACTACATTTTTTCATAGAACTACCACGAGCATTTCAACCATTTCTGGCTAAATACCAGACAGGTGTTCCCATGATGCCCTTCCTTTGAAAGGACTTGGCAGATTTGATCTGGGTAAATATTCACCACCACAGTAAATAATAATGAACATGCAAACATGCACATGTGAACTTAACTCTAATTTTATTTTCAGACTCTCCTTCAACGCTTCATAATTCATTTCATTACCCAAGACACTGTTACAGAGTCAAAAGACAGACCAAAAGCTATTGCATTTGTTATCAAACACAAGTCGCATTGGGGGAATGCAGTATTTTCATGGATGTCCATTATCTCAAAAACTAGAACCAATTCAGCAAAAGCAATGTGATTTCTGAATTCAGCTGCCTCAAAATACCCTAAATCTATTCAAAAAACCGTGGCACCTGAATTTTTTATTTTTTTTTGTAGACCTGTGTAATCTTGTTATTGTTGGCTGCGTGTTTTTAAAATATTTACCTTTTCCAGTTTTTATTTCTTTTGTTTTTAGAGCATCGATCAGATTTTTGAATCGGTAACGGCACCGATCCAGACATATTTGATGGATAGGGTATCCATACATGACCGACACACGTCCAATACTTTTTGGCAGTCTCTAAAAAGCTACCTCCTATTTTGTGTTAAATCTATTTGTACAATAAATCGCACGACAGCTCTTTCCCATTTTAGATGTGTATTTTGCAGCATTGAAGCTGAAGGCTAAGGGTTTCTTGCTACTCTGTGGGTGTGAGCGAAGTGACTTTCGCCTGCTGTGACGTCATGCGCATACCCTTTACAACAAGGAGCGTGAGAACCTCAGATAAGACGGTGAAGATCTGCTGGTATTTTACGCTTTTGACAGCAACTAGTAGTGCAGCAATTTGCAGTCTTTGTAAAAACAAAGTTTTGAGAGGTGGAAATAGTGTCTAGTGGATAATCCCACTAAAAAACGTGTGCGAAATTGTGCGAGATAATGCGATTGAATATGAAAAAAATCAATGGATAATTTGGGAGTCGGTGTTTGGGCACTAGCTACAGCTTGTGATACACGAGGGGCTGCGATCGCAGCGAAGTGCAAGTGACGGTGTTGACAAAAGGAGAAATTTTGTGGAGCATTTGAAGCATTAGCCACATTCATATCCTCGCTTGGAAGACTTAAGATTGAACTGCAAAATGCCTCAAAAACGCTTAAAGCAAACGAGGTGGAACAGTACGTTATGTATGTTTCTAGTAGCCGAATTAGATTTTTGGCATACATTTATTCAGCTATATTTACTAGTTTAAAAATATTAATAATATTGGAACGGATCGGAACTGGAAAAATTTGGATCGGCCCATCCCTAATTTTTTAAATAATATTATATGTTTGTATTATATGTATCTTTCACCGTAAATATAGCCATAACTGCTAACTAACACTTTCTTGGACAACCTATGACTTTTGCATAGTATTATAATGCAGAATATTGTAGTGCTCTGTAAGGATGCAATTACTGTCATATGTAACACGACGTCTTAACCCCCAAGGTGACAGACGATGAACCAAATCAGAAGGATGCTCTGCAGCCTGGCAGGAACATTGTGGCTGCAGGCTATGCCCTTTATGGCAGTGCGACCATGATGGTGCTCTCAGCTGGTCAGGGGGTTAACTGCTTCATGCTGGACCCAGTGAGTCATGTTGGATTGATGTCTTTGTTATATGGATCAAATCATTATATGTTGAATGATGGTTCTATCTTTGAATACTGTATTTTATGTAGAAGCAATTTGGTGTATTAAACATCATTGTATTAATACCATGTCTTCCTGTATGAGACATTTATTGTTTTAAACAGTTGGATTTTTTTTTTAATTTAATGTGCATGTCTGATTATGAGGTAGGAACTAATTTATTGTGTTTTCCAGTCAATAGGGGAGTTTATTCTGGTGGACAGAAATGTCAGGATAAAGAAGAAGGGCAAGATCTACAGTCTTAATGAGGGATATGCCAAGTTTTTTGACCCTGCAGTCACAGAATACTTGAAAAGGAAGAAATTTCCAGAGGTAATCATTGAGAAAATTACATAAACAGTACAGTTGAAAAACTATATCTATTGATTTTGCTTAAGATTACACCTGGTCACAACTGTAATATTTCTGACGTTTCATGCTAGCATAAAACATGGTTGCTCAGTATTTCTGGCAAGATCAAAAATGTATTTATAAGTTGTCCAACTAAAACTATGGGTAGCACTTTATGTGAGGGAGTGCAAGTGACTTAGTAACTCAGTTACTACTAATGTACAAATCATGAACAAATATAGTAATTGCATGAAATACATGAACTGTTAATGTTAATGAACGAACATGGGATCATTAACTAACACTTAGTTTGTGGTTAATTAATGCATTAAGTAAGAGTGTACTACATTATTTGTGCCCCCTCAAAGTGTTACCAAACTAAATGAAAAGATTAAAGCAGCATTGAAGTTATAATCAACCTTGAGTTCAAACAAATAAAACGAACATCAAACTTCTGTCAGGATGGAAGCGAGCCCTATGGGGGGAGGTATGTGGGCTCCATGGTAGCAGATGTTCATCGAACTCTTGTGTATGGAGGCATCTTCCTGTATCCTGCTAATGTCAAGAGCCCAAAGGGAAAGGTAAGACATGCTTGATAAAGAACAAATAATCATATACATACTTGTTTTATATACCTGTTACATAATATGTACACAATTTTAAACCCTATTTACTTTAGTCTGGTGATATGAGCATGTGGTATGAATTAAAACATAATGAGTCTTAGTGCCCTCTAGAGGTGCGTATAGGTGTCTGCATATAGGGGAATTTCAGCTGTAATGGGTCTGCCTTATATAGAATATATATGGCCACTAATAGAAAGCATTACACAGCTTGCAGTGTGTAACGAAAGCAATGCATTTCTGGGAGGACATCAAAGTAGTGTTACCCTGCCTTAGAGAAACCGTGGCAGGCTTGAAAAAAACGTGACATCTGACATTAGGATGGAAAATGCTGTCCTTGATGTGAACTGATAAAATAAAGCCCTACATTTTTGTTTCTCAGCTGAGGTTGCTTTATGAGTGCAACCCCATGGCGTACATCATGGAGCAAGCTGGTGGAATGGCCACAACGGGGGCCTGTAATGTGCTGGACATCCAGCCGGAGTCCATCCATCAGAGGGTTCCTGTGGTGCTGGGCTCCCCCGATGATGTACAGGAGTACATATCCATCTTCAAGAAGCATGCCAAGTGAATGCTGCTTAGCCAGACCAAAGACCCAAGCCTGGTTCTTCAAAAGCGGACGCTTTGAAAAAATAGCGCCCATGGACTTTCACATAATTTCCATTTTTATCTGGGAAATAGTTTTATTTCATCTAATATGTGGACTAAAGAATATGGTGAATAAAATGTCTTTCAAGCTCCTGTTTCATTCACGTTCTTATCTTATTCAGAGTTGCAGGGAGGTCTGGAGTCTATCATGGAGGCTACAGGCACAAGGCTGGGAACAACCCAGGATGGGCTGCCAACCCATCATAGTGCACACTCACACACCATTCACTCACTCACCATTCACTCACACACCATTCACTCACTCACCATTCACTCACACACCATTCACTCACTCACCATTCACTCACACACCATTCACTCACACACCATTCACTCACACACCATTCACTCACCATTCACTCACACACCATTCACTCACTCACCATTCACTCACACACCATTCACTCACTCACCCTTCACTCACTCACCATTCACTCACTCACCATTCACTCACTCACCATTCACTCACACACCATTCACTCACACACCATTCACTCACACACATGCACACTTTGGTAACACCAGTTCACCCTAGCACATTTTTGGCCTTCATGAAATAAAAAAATATTGCACAAAATACACATGATGATTCAAATGTTATTCAAGCATTAGGGGAAGAACAATTTTTCAAATATAAAAAATGTATTGAGTAGTACAATTATTTTATGCAAAACATAGGCTTCACAGTTTCTGGTACCCTGATGTCTGAAGAATCATTCACTTGAGAGGATTACAACATGGGACCTCCTTTAAAACATGACAAGGTTAGAACACACTTTTGGAGGGATCTTGTACTCCATGCAGAATGTTTCCGGATCCATGATCCCCAAAACTTTCTCTGTTTTGATCTTGATATATGTTCGGAGTTTTTGTGTTTTTGAAAGGCCAACCGACAACGAAGTCCCAACTTCTGGGCAGAAGCAGTTGGGTTTTGGGCTAAAGAAAAACTGAAATTGATTTTATCGACTACCCCTGAACCACCAGCCACTAAACAGTAACAATGATCCACCGCCACGTTTTACTGTTGGTATCAGGTGCTTTCCATTGTATGCAGTCTTCACGCATGCTTATGGTGTTCAAGGCCAAAGAGCTCAATTTTGGCCTAATCTGACTGCAATACACAATTCCAAACATTGTTCCAATGATGCCTGGCAAGTTCAGGCACTGACATGGGAGTGGTGTTTGACTCACTGGGTTAGGACACTGTGCCTGTCATCAGAAGGCCACCGGTTCACATCCTGTGGCAGGCAGAGTGACGTCACCATTAGTCCCTTGACCAAGGCACTTAACCCCAGTTGCTCCAGAGACTAGCTGACTGTGCTTCCTCAAATGCATGTCTGGTAAATAAATACTTGTAAAATGAAATGCGTGGGTTGAGGTCAGGAAGGACTTCCCTTCTGCCCATCCAAAGAGTATGTTGACAGCTACCCCCCAGAATTGGTGACCACGGCCCCTTTGCTGCCACAACACGAATTTACATGTATACCCTGAATAAATCTCCCCCTTCCAGGGGTTTGTGTCTGCACCATTGTCTCCTGTTCCTCCTTACCCTTCTACTAAGGTTCCTGGAGACAAAGACCAAAAAATACTGCTTCTGTTTTAGGGTAGTGTGTGACTCAGTGGGTTGAGACATTAGACCAGCGTTCACAAGGTAGCTGGCTCAGATCCTAGGGCTGGGCCCTTGAGTATGACCTTTGACCCCCAATCACATAACAGGCAGTCAAATCTGTTTTTCTCAAAAGTCTATCTCAATTAAAAAAATATAAATAATTTATGTGTTACTCATCATTGTGGGGAAACTTCATGCATCTCCCCCAATGTGATCTCTATAGATGAGAGCAAGCTGGCCACAAAGGGCAGCCACCCATAGCAGCATCCAGGGAGCAAGAGTCTTGCTCAAGGAGTCACAGAAATACTGAGACTGGACACAAACCAGCAACCTTCCACTCAAAGGCACAGAGGCTTAGCCGACTGAGTCACACAGTGTCCCCCTGTTATGGGCTCAAAGTGATTTGGATAATATCATCTGCTAAGTCAGTTTAATGTACATTCTGCATATTATTTAAGGGTGCCAATATTTTTAAACCATATTTATTGTACTGTTTAACCCACTTCATGTTTGAAAAATTGTGTGGAAAGCATGTATTTTCCAAAAAGCTTGAACATTTTATCCTAGTTTTTTTACTCAAATTTGTGCTTGTTACACTTGAGATGACTGTAAATATGGTGCAATAACTAGATGAACTGGGGTACCACATTATGATTCAGTTACTTATTCTGGCTATTTAAGTCACTGACTGCTAAGAGTACCTGCAATGCTTTAATTAAAAATCTCCAAGTCCTATCAAAGGTACTTCCCTCCTTCTTATACTACATTTACCCTTTTTGAGGTGTTGCCAACTGTGGAAAAGAAAAAAAATTCAGAAAAGCATGGTTGACTCGTAACTCTTCTGGAAAGGGAGTCCACTTGTTAAAAACCATAATGCTGTCCACAAACTGTACAGGCACTATATTGGCACAGTGACAGATTTTTTGCATTTATGACTAAAACAGCACTACTCAGCAGGTATTAATTTTATGACGAAGGCTGTTTATGTCTTTGTTATTTTTGCACTGTCACTTTACTGTTCAGAATCTCAACCACTACAGTCACCTTTTAATTACACTATGACGCTTGATATTGCGCTTCATTTTCAACATACATGCTTCATTATCTTTTATTTATTGTATTTATTTACTGTAATTTTAAATATATATTAACTTTCCTTATTTTACTGTACTTTTGTCAACTTATCATTTTGTGGTCTGCAAGGAGGGTATGCAAGGAAGGATTTTATTGTACTTAGTACATTGTTCATGACAATAAAGCTTCAAATCTTGAATATTTTAGCACTCCACTACCCAGAATGACCCAATATTGCCTGAAATCCATAACAAATTGTACACGTTATTTTGTTGTTTATGTTCTCTGTGACAGGGAGGTATGGTGGCGCAGTGGTTAGCACTGTTGCCTTACGCTACTTCAACCTGGGTTCAAGTCCCTGTCGGGGTTTTGTGTGTGTGGGATTTGCATGTTTTCCCCATGTCATCGTCGAGTTTCCTGCAGGTACTCTGGTTTTCCCCTACAGTGCAAAAATATGCTGAGGCTAATTGGGGTTACCAAATTGCCCATAGGTGTCCGTGTGTGAATGAATGTGCCCTGCGATGGGTTGGTGTCCCATCCTGGGTTGTTCCTTGCCTTGCGCCTATAGGCTCCAGACCCCCTATGACCCGTGACTCATGGTTGCAGAAAATGGATGGATGCTCTCTGTGACACTTTGGCATCTAACGGTCTATAATGAGTCATGATATTAACATTGTCAGTCATTCAGATTTCTGCTTTTGTAAAATCAACATGATTTGGTATTCAGCTAGACCTCTGTATCAGACTGAATGTTATTTTTGGTACCTCTGTTATGGATTCAAAGTAATTTAAAAAGAGCTTCAATTTGAAAAATGTTTGCTGGCACAATAGGTGGTGTGTAACTCAGAAGGTTAGAATGCTGTGCCTATGATCAGAAGGTTGCCAGTTCTGAACCCATGGTTGGCAGAGTGACTGAGCCTTTGCACACCACCCTTAACCCTCTGTTGCTCCAGGGATTGTCTAACCCTGCTTTCTGGAAAACAATGTATGTTGCACTGGATTAAAATGTAAACTTCTTTGCCTGATATGCTAAATGCTGGAAGTCAACACGATGCATTCCGGAGCATCTGGACCCTTGTTTTAGAGGGAAACAGTGGCTAGGACATGGTTTAAGTTAAAGAAAATGCATAAAACATCCATTTCCTGTTCAAATGCCTTATATGCTTATGACCACCAGATGGCCTCCCTTACAAGCAAAAATCGGTGGCATTTCTCATTATTGAGGCTTGCTATCAGAACCTGACAAAAGGAAATTGTTATATTTCTATACAAAAATAACGTATTAAAAATAGTTTATATAATTAGCTTTGCTTTAAGAAGCTTCTTTGATTCCTTTTCATTGTTGTTTTTAACATTACTTTTATATTGTATTGTGTATCACATTACTGATGTTGATATCTCTCCATTCAATAGCTGCTGATCCAATAACAGGTGAGATTGTAAATAACTTCAAATAAGCAGTGAATGATAGACTGGTGGTTGAGTAAATTATGCGTAAAACTTGCTGACCAGCTGAGCTAGAAGCTGTTTGCTGAGTTGCAGAACAACAAAGCCAAACACACGCAATCTGATGCTTAGAAAGTATTGCTTCAGTTCAAACGGATGAAGCGATGTCATCCATGAAGTCACGCTGTTGTTGATGCTGTGTTAGCACTTTCCTTTTGCAAATCCCTAAACTTGAGACATTGAGCTGTAGTTTTAAGGAATGAATGATGTATAATCAGTCACTGATTTTGTTGAGTCAACAGCAAAGACAGCAATAATGGTATCTTTTGATCATGAGCAACAAAGAAATACAATTGTGACCCCTTAGATAAAGAAGGACATGTAACAAACAATACCAGTTTCACAAAGGATATGATTCAATTAAATACAGAAACAACTCTACTTCTGCACATTTTCATGTCATTATGGATTATTCATTGTTTCAGGACCTGGTTACTCCTTAAATCAGCAAGCTCCCCATAAACTTCATATTCAGTATCTGTCATTATGATGCTTTATTGAATCTTGTGACTCAGTAATGAATTTAAAACAACATAAACTATGCTCTCTTCTTTAATACTACATGTTCCCCCTAGACACCCAGGTATGATGGCTTAAATCAAATTAACTTTCTGAATATTTCATGATGTGCCATTAATTTTTAAGAAAGCTATGCAATTGCAATGGAACAGTCCACTCTCAGAGTGCCCCTTGTTGGTGTTTTCTTGTCAGCAGTCATACCACCTGAAGTCCAGACTAGTAATCCACCTGAAACTAAGCAGGTTTGGGCCTGGCCAGTACATGTAAGGGAGATCAACTAGGAAAGCTGTTGGAAGAGGTGTTGGTGTGGCCAACTGGTCAGCCCATCCTGTGATCTGTGTGGATCCCAATGTCCCAGTGCAGTGATGGGGACACTGTGCTGTAAAAATCAA